ATTGACGCATTTATGTGCAAAGAACGACTCACCATGTTTTTGATACCAAACACATTACATCTGATAGTACGTAACAAAAACAAATCAAATTACCCACACTCCTCACTTCTCTAGCACCGCATCCCCACCTCACTCTTAAAAAAAAAAAAAAAAGACCATTTCTCAATTTGTGCGTGTCATCCATTTATGTTCATCAAGAAAATCAATTAAATTTAAAATAATAAATATGTAAGGTACTACCTCCGGTCCTAATTATAAGACCCAGTTGACTAATTTGAGGAAATTAAGGAAGTAAGTTAAGTTAATTATTTGTAATAAATAAGTGTTGTCATTCCTAAAATATCCTTACTAATTAAATATATTAGCTAGAACTATCATTATTAGAAGGATTATCTTGGAAAAAAATACATAAATATGAGAGACAAAATGGATTGGGGTCTTATAATTAGGACCAAACTAAAAGTCAAACGGGGTCTTATATTAAGGACCGGAGGTAGTATATATTTATTTTTCTAAATATGCTCTTATTAATGAAGAGAATTAATAGAAGATGCAATAAATGAATAAAAAAGAGGAGAGAGTATATATGGGGCAAGATTGGGGGAAAAAAAACTCATTAAATATTTAAACAAAACTAAAGTTTATCTTATGAAAAAAAATCAAACGCTTCTAACAAAATTTATCTTATATGTTGAACCGTATAAAATATTCCCCTTTGTCAGTGTTGCTCTGGAGGCCTTTCACTTTTGTTTTTCAACACACGCATATTCATTTATAAATATCCACCACAACTACATACACATATATTGGGCTTTCCTGATATTAAAATTTTTTGCCTTGTGCTACTTCCATTACTTAATATAATAGCTAGTTTGACAATTAATTTTCTCTTAAGTATAAATCCCAATCTACTTTGTCTCTCATATTTATCTATTTTTTCTCAAGGTTATCCTTATAATAGTTGCATATATTAAATGTTTATCAAATTGTAGTTTTAACTAATACACATGATTAAAAACGGCATTTTAGAGAAGACAATACTTATTTATTATAAATAACTAACTTAACTAATTATCTTAATTTACTCAAATTAATCTATTAGCTCTTGTATTAAACACTGGAAGTAGTATAATAATTTTGTATCTTGATAAAAATAGCTGGATCTGTGGGAATTGATATGTGTTTATGTAATTTGCAAAACAAGAAGACCAAGGCAAAGACCAGAACGGAAAAGGAGAACAAATATAAAGGAAAAGTAAGTGACAAGCAATCGTTTTTACTGAATCCAATACACATGTCGATTATTGGCGAATAGAGGCAGCAAATTAGGGGTTTCTGAATGCTGTTTAAGACAACCATTTGCCCCTGTTCTTATGCTACTCCAATGGCTTAGAACAGTCATAGTCATTTAGTCGCCTAAGACTTAACATATTGTTCATTAAGTTTTTAATATTCTCATCCATTGATCAATTTTTCTAGAAGTGGGAACATTTTCAAGTCTTCTAAGAGTAAACAATCAAATTTCCATACATATGACTTTTTGAGGTTTCTTTGCCCCACACAACGACAATTGAGGCATTAGAATTTAGTGTTTAACTATTTGCCAAAGACTATTGAATCAAGCTGAACCAGTTTTTCTCCAATTCAGATACTCTGCATTTATGGTTTTCTCAAATTTCTCTGCCCCACATTATTTGAACTGAAGTTACTGGAGAAAGTCCGGTAGTCAGAAAAATAAAAATAAAAAAACTACTGCCCAAAAAAGAAATTTTAGTATCTCCTTGCTAAGTAGTATTTGAACTCACATTTTTATTGGATCGGACTAACTCCTTACTAAGAAGACTTTTGTTGACTAGGGTGTTCGGCAACCCTCAAAAATGCTTTTAAAAAGCACTTTTCTGTAAAATGAAGCAAACTCTTTTACATATTTACTTTGTACACTGTAAATGTACTTTTAAAATTATGGTTTGGTTTCTATCCAAGTACTATATCTGTTTTATTTATTTCGTTACTATCTTTATTCTTTTCAAAAGACAATACAGTCTTTTCTTGGTAGTTAATATATATTCCATGAGGTGAAAACCAACAACGTATTTGAATTTCAAATTGTAAAGTTGGAAATTATAATAAAAAAGAAAACATTAATTAATTGATTGGCATCGATCATCAGTAATAGACTAACTAAAATCGGGTTACTGAATTATGGGTCGCCCATCATAGTTGATCATAGCAAAAAAAAAAAAAAAACCATCAACGTCTTATATGGATATGTATATATTACTATTTTCTTCACAAGTTCTGATTGCAAACCATATTTGAGACCTCAGATAGTTTGTACAAAAGAAGCTGGGTAGCTTTACTTATCCCACTTCTGTGATAATAAATTGGAGAAAGATAGGCCATTAGCCACTGGAATTCACGCATTTGATCTGTACAGAATGACTTACCATGTCCTTTTATACTGGGAAAACCATTTTACATGTGCCTATAATTTTCTCATTTAATTCAGTGCCTGTCGCTGTAATTTTACTCCATTAGTACCGTTAGCTTTTGCATAGGGTCTAATAACACATAGCGAAATTATAGAGACTAACAGTACTAACAAAATAAAATTAGAGTATTTAATTAAGAGAAAAGTACATTGGCCCCATGTTAAAAATTGAGGAAAACTATAGATACATATAAAATGGTTTTTCCTTTTATACCAAACACATTGCAAGTCAAAGAATAAGTGAAATTAGTTTTTCTTAGAAACATAAAAAATAATATTAAACAATATAAGTTTACAAGTTACAAATAACAAGTGAAGTAAAATGAGATTCTAAGAAATTATTAAAAAAAAACAGAAATTAGAATGACCCTAAAATTAATAACAGAAAAATCAAAAAATAAAGATAAAATCTCCTGTCAAGCGATATTGAGTGTTGAAGAAGCTCGTGAAGGAGTTTGAACATGTAATTGGTTTTGAAATAATTTATTATTCATCATAACTACAACTAATATTATCAAATTTGAAATAAAAGTTTTATGTCATATATCAAAATTATTTTTAATTTAATTTTGTAACTCATCGTTTGCCACTGAATAATTCAATATTTACAACAACTATTATGAGTTTGTATGTACATAGGTTCATTTTTGAACAATTTTTAAAAATTTTGCACTGAATAATTTAATCTTATCTGCTTCCTCTAGATGATCCCATCAAGCCCATTATGTTTTATAAATTATAGACGAAAATTCTTCCCAAACTAACCACTAAAATAAATCTTTTGAAATAAAATATATTAAAAATTTTAAAGAAATTTCTTATTGTCTTTATAAAAGAAAATATATTCTCAATGTTTTATGAGAAAATCTCATTAAATACCTTCTCTTTTTTTTACATATCCAAATCCCAAATTAGGCCCTACATTTAACAGAATCTAAGTCGGTCATGCAGCCCAATTCATGGGGGAAAAAAGCAGCCCAATTCAAAATTCAGAATTGATTGATTTTACCTATATGCCCTCCTGCCCCTGCCCTCTCCGTCTTCCATCTCCAGACTTGTTCTCCTCCATCCATCTCCTCCCCTCTCCCTCGGGCTCAAAACACACATCGCTGGCCGATAAACAGCTCCTATGGAGAGGAATAACATCCGCATTATTGACAGATTGCCAATTGCTAACCCCATGTCCTGATTGAAAATACCCAAGAATGCGAAGACGGTGAAGATGGGTTCCTACTGAAGTCAGAACCATTGTCACCGACTCTCGGCGACGACTGGGAAAATGGGGCACTAGCAGTCGGTCTCGCTATGGCTTTAACAGGAGAGGGACGCGAAGGGATAGCAGAGAAACTCGGGAGATAAAAGGGATAGCAGAGGAACTCGTGAGACTTTTTTAAGGGTGTTTGGAGATGGTTTTAAAAGTACTGTATATGAGTAAATATGTGGATTTCTCATAAAAAAATATTTTTCAAAAATATTTTTGCATGTCTCCAAAAACACCCCCTGCAGCTTGGCTTCCAAAAGCAATTTGTGAATTTCAAATGGGAATTTTTGAATTGCAAAAATTAATGTGTTAATTTCTAATAAGAATGTCTTGAATTACAAAATGGTTATTGCAAAAGTTTTATTATGCATAAGAACTTATGAATTACGAAGGAGAAATGTTGAATTGTAAAATGTATTAATTTTTGTTTTTAAAATTTTGAGGCAGTAAGACTGAGGTGGAGATTGAACCACTTTAGTGTCACAAAAGGCATCTTGTGTTTGGATGAAAACACCAACCTGAGGCTGGAAAGGACGAGCACCGCAACGCACCCCAGAGAACAGTACTCAATATAGTGAAACTGACAGGAACAGGTTCAATATCTTAGCTACACCCGAGATGTCAGAGGATCACAGTGAAAGGAAAAAACCGGAAGAGGATCAAATGGAAAAGGTGCCAAGCTCTCCCAATGGTCAGAGTAGCAAGTATAGAAAGAAGGAATCCCCTCTGAAGTCTATGGTTACTAAAGGAGTGAAACAAGGCAAGAATCCGACCTCAGAGAAATCGACAACAAGCACACCCTCTGCAGACTCCTTGTTTAACACTCGAGCGTATAAGGAAGCACGAGCCCCAACAACCCTAGATCCAGCTAAACATACGGCCGTCACTATCATTGAAATGAGGAAGGCGCTTAACCCGGTCAAGGGGGCTAACAAAACAACACTTGGGCCAAAAGCTAAGCCCATGAAGCGGGATGGAAAAGAGAACCTGCTCCCAAAGCCTCCGGATCGAGGTTCACAAAGAGGAGGATTCAAAATCCAACCAAATGTCAAAATAAGGTCCAATCGACCCAAAGAAATAGATGAGATAGGGACACCAACACAGGAAATTGCTATAGCTTTAGCAAAAGCTCTGGTAGAGGCAGTCCCCTCTGATGAAGAAACGACTTTTATGGAAGCAATGGAGTTTGGTATGGATGACGATACTGGCTCGGAGCACCCCGAAAAAGATACTTGATTTTTTTCCCCCATGAATAAATCAATCTTCGTGTGGAATTGCCAAGGGGCAGCATCTAATAGTTTCCACAGGATGTTGAAATCCCTCCTACAAGGCTACAGACCTGAAATCATTGTTCTTGTGGAGCCTAGAATTTCTGGAATTAAGGCAAATAAAGTAATCAAGAAGCTTGGCTACCCGCACTCTCATAGAGTGGAAGCTTCTGGTTTCTCTGGAGGTATTTGGCTCATGCGGTCAACAAATGTTCTGGTTAGCGTTCTGAACAACCATCAACAATTTATACACACTTCTATCTCTGACAGCACAGGAGGCAGCAAAGCTCTTTTCACGGCAGTCTATGCAAGTCCTAACCCCTCTATGCGAGAAACCTTATGGGCAGATCTAATTAATTTGGAACGGGATGATAATGCTACGTGGCTTCTTGCTGGTGACTTCAATGCTACAATTGCTCATGATGAGCGTAAGGGAGGTTCGAAGCTGAATCAATCGGGCTGCAAGAAATTCCACCACTTTTCTCAAAGACTAGGCTTGCTGGATCTAGGATATATTGGGCCGCGCTTCACATGGCAACGAGGTAACCTCATGGTGCGCCTGGATCGGGCCCTGTGTAACGAAAAATGGCTTATGGAACAACCTACTACCCATGTGCTACATCTCCCAAAGGCTCAAAGTGACCATAGGCCTCTACTCATTAAGGCTAAAAATGGTGGTAGCAGAAACAATCCAACCTTCTGCTTTCTGGCCTCTTGGATTCTCCACCCTGATTTTCATAATCTAGTTTCAAACAGCTGGGCCAGCAACAAATGCCTCTCGGAGAATATTTCTCTATTTGTGGAAAAGGCCCAACACTGGAACCGAGAAACTTATGGACAAGTTGGATAGCAGAAGAGGCACCTTCGTGCTCGACTCGCTGGGGTGCAACGAGCTTTAGAAAAATACCCCTTCTCTACTCACCTCATCAACTCAAAAAGATCGCTATGCACACATTATGAGGACATACTTCTAAGAGAGGAAATGCTTTGGCTGCAGAAATCGCGAAGCCAGGGGATTTGTGAGGGTGACTGCAACACACGCTTCTATCACACCTCAACGCTAATCCGACGGCATAAAAGCAGAATTCTGATGCTTAAAAATGATGAAGATCTCTGGGAATCAGACCCAAACATCCTGGAACAAATGGCAACTGACTTTTTCCAAAACTTATACTCTCTCGAGCACTCCCAAGCTCCTCCTTACCGCTACACTGGCCAATTTCCTCTCCTTGTAGAATCATCGATTCTGTCCTTAGAGCGTCCCATCTCAAAAGAAGAAACTAGGAGAGCACCTTTTGATATGGCGCCTTTGAAATCTCTAGGAATTGATGGACTCCACGCCCTTTTTTTCCAATCTCAATGGGATACAGTAGGGGACTCCCTTTTTAATGAAGTGAAGAGTATCTTTGAAGGGGGTGAGATTGATCAGCAGTTCAACCGTACCTTAATAGCCTTAATCCCAAAGATTAAGCAGCCGCAGCGTTTGAAAGACTTCAGACCCATCAGCCTTTGCACCACGGTCTACAAGTTAATAACAAGATTATTGCTAACAGACTGAAAATAATTATACCCACCATTATTACTGCCAACCAATCAAGCTTTATACAGGGGAGAAGCATTATGGATAACGTTATTATTGCTCAAGAGGCGAGACACTCCATGAAAAAGAAGAGCGGTAAAGCTGCATGGATGGCAATTAAAGTTGACTTAGAAAAAGCCTTTGATCGTATCACATGGGATTTTATTGAAGACACGCTGAAAGAAGCCCGTATTGCTTATCAGGATCATTATGAAATGTATCACGCAATCTACAATGCAAGTAATTTGGAATGGAGTTCCTAAGAGCACTTTTAAGCCTCTGAGAGGCATTAGACAGGGAGACCCTCTCTCACCTTACATTTTCATCATGTGTATGGAATGCTTCTCTCAAGCAATATCTCATAACGTGAGTAATCAGAACCGGCAACCGATTCGCATGGGTAGTGGTGGCCCTCTTCTCTCACACCTTTTCTTTGCGGACGATCTAATTCTCTTCAGTTCAACCAAAGATACTCAAGTTGAATTAATACACTAGCTGTTAGAAGAATTCTGCTGCTCATCGGGCCAAAAAGTGAATGTACCCAAGACCATAATTTTCTTCTCTAAGAATACCCTCCCACAAGAGGCTAACTGAATCTGCAGAAAACTAGGATTTCAGAAAACAGAGTCTCTTGGCAAATATCTGGGAGTACCTCTCCTACATAGCAGAGTAACCAAAGAGACATATAGATACATTGAAGAAAAAGTTCAGCAGAAGCTAGCAGGGTGGAAAGTGAAATCTTTGTCACTCGCAGGACGCATAACCTTAGCTTCCTCGGTACTCTCAGCAATACCGATATATGCCATGCAGTCCACAAAACTTCCTGCAGGAACTAGTGACAGAATATAGACGCTGATTAGGAACTTTATCTGGGGAGATACAGATCAGCATAAAAGCATCCATCTGATGAATTGGAACAAACTCTGTCAACCGAAGGAGTGTGGTGGATGCGGCCTCAAGAATACCAAAATACAAAATTATGCCCTTCTTATGAAGATGCATACAGCGTTGCAACCCAGCCAGAAGCCTTTTGGGTCCAGATATTGCGGAAGAAGTACAAATGGGATGGATTAGGCCATAACAAGGAAATTCCAAAAAAATGCTTCCCACCTCTAGAGGAGCCTAAGTTGTGTCTGGAAAGAGATTGAGCTGGGAATATTTTGGCATATAAGAGATGGGAACCACGTCCATTTCTGGTCCGATCATTAGGTAGGGGAGCTTGGGCCTCTTAAAAATCTAGCTTTCGCTCCTATTGAAGATGAGCACCTACAGAAGACAGTTAAAGACTTTACCACAACCAGCGGTAAGTGGAATTGGAATCTTTTTGGCAGAAGTTTACCGCAGGACATTCTCATGCAAATAGGCGAAATTCAACCCCCATCAGAAAGTAGGGGTGCTGATCAAGGTGCATGGCACCTAACAGGTCATGGGAACTTTACTGTGCAGTCTACTTACAAGCTACTAGCAAGGGATGATTGGGATGAAAGGAACGCTCGATGGAAGTTAGCTTGGAAATGGCCAGGGGCACAACGAGTGCGTACCTTCCTCTGGCTTGCACTGAACGAGAAGCTGTTCACGAACAAGGAGCGTTTTCGGAGACATATGACTTCCTCTCCCTTTTGTGGCTTATGTAGGGGAGAAACAAAAGATCTTGATCATGTCCTTAGGCGATGCCCGCTGGCTACGTCTTGTTGGAAGCTCATAATACCTCTGCACCTCCAAGAGCAGTTCTTCGGGGGCCCTTTTGATCACTCGTTCCAAGCCCACTTAAAACTTAGTGATTCGAGCTCACCTTGGTGCATCACCTTTGGGCTGTTATGTTGGAGACTCTGGGATGCGAGGAACAGACGTTTGTTTTGCCAAGAAGATACTAAAGCGCATAGGCTAGTTAACGAAGTCCTTTCCCTGAGCGAGCACACGGCCAAAGCCAACGTAGGACTAGAGATGATGATTTCGCTTTAAGCGCCTCTCGCTTTTTTGCTGCGTGAAACTTTGTCTGTATTTTTCTGTTGTTTTTAGTTTCTCTCTCCTGTACCTTTTCGCATCATTAATAATACTCCCTTTTCATTCAAAAAAAGGCATCTTGTGTTGTTAGATCCACGGTTGGCTACTGTGTTAATTTCTTAAAATGTCTTCTGTCTGGGTTGCAAAATAATTATTGGAAAATTTTTGTTGGAACAAGAATGTGTGAATTGTAAACGAAAACTTTTAAATATCAACTTAGTAACTTTTAACCCTATAACAATGGGTCTTGCTATGATTAAATCTCACTTCTAGAAAGAAAAATTTTTTATACCGTCTAATTTACACCCTTTATTATGGCAAACAGGCAAAGGAGTAAAAAATGTGATTGGTGACATTTTTGTAAATATTGATAGATTTTCAAACTAGTTTCGTGTACAGCTGGTTTAAAATATATTTTTTATACTGGTTATTTGTACAATAGGGCGCATTAAAATTTTTTTTAAAAAAATAATGTTTATAAGCTTTTAAATTGGTTCTGTGACAACCGTTCTTTTAAAGATTAACCATGATAGAAAAGAAGAAACCTTAAAATTATAAAATCACTATCATGGTTAAAAGAAATAAACTTATATTACAAGTAATATCAATCATTAACTTGGACCTTAAACTTTTAAAGTCCAGAAATATCATTCAACCACTAGCCCAAACCAAACTCATACTTTCAAACATACGAACTAATAAATCATTTTAATATAAACTATGGAATCTATTAGCCAAAAGTCAACACTGTAAAAGAGTATTACATACAGAGTCTTAACAGTATCTGGCTTTCTAAATTGCCTTTGCATGTGAGATAGTAGTGATTAAAAGTATTAAATTACAACATTAGAGTATATGAGTCCTATGTGGCAATATATAATAAATCAGCACATAAAACAAAAGCAGGAAGGCTATACAAGTTATAACAGTATACTATGCTTCCGAAACCTTTCCTAATGGACCATCACCTAAGCTATCACCTGAAAATAGTAAAAACCATGGGGTGAGACAAAAACCTTAGTAACCAATTTTCCAACTCATCATACATATTAACATGTACTCGTGAGGTGTCAAGTGGCATAGTTTTAAATTCTGAGGAATATAATACCTATTTGTCATCACGATTGAAATCACTCATAAGCATGTTTTACGTAAATCGAGACAAAACTCTTCTCACATACTTATCTCGTATTCCATAAGTTACAATTGAAAAGCTGTTTATAAGCTATTTCAAATGGACCCATAGATATATTCGTAGAAATATAATTTCAATCATCCAAACCCTCACTATAGGGGCTAATACATAAGCCACATAAGTCTATCCTTCATTATGGGGGATCAATCAGACATATAAGCCTATCACTCACTCTAGGAGACGAATAAGAAGCTACAAATACCTATCCCTCACTACGGGGGATGAAGGAAGCCAACCAATATACACCAATAGCGGCCTTACCACGTGGTAGAACATGATTTAACTCAAAATCTAAATAACAACTAATCATTCACAATATAACAAGAAATGTCTCAATCTTTTCTCAGTATAATTCATAAGATATAAATCATATATTTTTCTAAACTTATCAATCACAAATCAAAAAATTTCACAAGACAATTTTCATAGCTCAAAAGGTATAACATTTTTATCAAGTTCCAAATAATATATCATTATTCTAAAATAGCAAAATATTCACAAACAATATATTAGCATATATAACAAGTGAAAAGTGGTTACCTCTCGTCAAAGCAATAAAAAGGATTACTGATAAAGCCTAAATTTTATATATTTTATCCCATATTAATTTAGGATTTAAATAATAATTTTGAGCTTAATTGGATTTTTATGCATTATTGAATTAATCGGTTGATTTTTGGATTTTTCATAAAAATTGAGATTTTGGATTAAAAATATAAATATTTTGTGATTTCCTTTTTTTTGACTTGGAATTAATTTTTTTCTATTTGTTTAGAAACAAGTCTCATATTTTTAGAAAGATTATTTTTAGAAAGTTTTGCAATTTCTGGCTTAACTTTTGTGCATATCTAATATTTAATTTTTGATTATTTTTGGATATAATCTATATTAATGGATGCACTTAAATTCTTGTAGGAAAACAAAGAGCATATAGGAAATCCAATGGTACAAGATTGTTTCTTGGGATTTAAGAGGACACTGAGGGACGCTAAGAAAGGGGACCACTAAGAGAATCTGGACTCCTAAGAGGACTAGCTTGAGGCTATAACTTGAGTTAAATTATGTAAGAACT